AGGCAATCCCCTACTCTTTATCGAAGAATGTACTGTGTTATTTAACGTGCACATGGGCCATTCTGCACACGGGACCAACGGCTTAAACGCGCTTATGAAACTTGCATTTCAGCCCTCCAACTAAAACACACGGAGAACAGCGATGAGAATTGAATTGGGGACCTAAAGATCACCACGGTTCAGCGCACACACAGTGGCTACCATCAGTTTAGCCAACTGAGCTAATATTATAATGTTCTGTTTGGTCAGCTGTCAACTTAGTTTGATATGCACCCGGAAAGGTATATTATGCGCACGGGAATTCAGTTAGAAGATAGTAGTTGATATTATTATATTATATATAACTTTATTGAAAAACGGAAATGACTCTCAATTTCTGATAACTACTTAAAAGTGAGTCGTGAAAGCGGTGACAACAGAGGGTGCCCAAACTAAAGATTGTGTTTTCGCAATTACAGTAGAACCCCTGTTAAGGAGACAACCCTATTAAGGGGACACTTTTGGCCACGAAACTAGAGAAAGCATATCTTTTAACACTACGATAAACCCCTATTCAGGGGACACCCCTATTCAGGGGATACTTTTTTAGGTCCCTGTGGTGTCCCCTTAATAGGGGTTCTATTGTATAATGATGAAATGAATATAACATCACCACCTATATATCACAAGTGTTGACAAAAATTACATGGATTTAAAAGACACATAACAGCACAATCAACTTACACTACATATTATTATAATAGTGTTGAATAATAAGGAGCAAATGTGTTATAATAATATTATAATGCCCGTTTAACTAAACTTTTTTTCGTGTATAATTTTCAGCGATTGTAAAAAGTACGGAGCTAGAGGAAGAGGTTTGTCATGCAAGTTGTCGCAATTTTACATTTCTACAAACGGTAGTCCAAGACGTTGAGAAGAAGGTAGGATTGTGTACTTGCCATTTAAGGTCTATTATACTACAAGTAAAGATAATGCTCATCATCGAAAAGGATTTGGAATCGTTCTCTTAAACGAGGCTTTATAAGTTTAATTTCGTACACAATGTAATGAGTTTAAACTAGTAATAATTACCGATTGTATACATATATATGTTTTTTGGTTTTTTTTTTAATTTTATTTCATCAGCGAAAATGCCAATAACAGGGAGCATATAGTAAATAAAATATCAAATTACAGCGAAAAGAATCGATAAAATCACAAAGTCACATTCAAAAATATTATAAGCAGTATAAAAATATGCAGATAAAATAATTTACAATATAGTTACAATTATATACAAGAAACATTATAAGAAAGTTCAATAAAATTCAATTACAGAGCAGGTGAATGATCAAATGGCAAGTTTAACTTTGGCTAAAAATAAATGAAGAAGTTGGTGAAAAATATCAATTAATGGCTCATTGTTTGTAACAGAATTATAGAAAGAGGAAAATCTACTGATAAAACCATTTTTAGTTGCGTTAACTCTACATTTTGGAACAAAAAAAAAGTTCTTGCCTACGCATATTGGGACGGGGAACTTTCAAAAGAAAAATATGGAAACATATTACACGAGAATGAGGAATTAACACAGAGAAAAACAAGATCAAAATATCTGCCTACGCTTTTTTAATGAATCAAGATTGCACACATTTTTATTACCAATACATCTCAGAAACTTAGTTTGAACTCGTTCGATTCGCTGCTCATGGGAAACACAAACTGAATTGTAAATAACTGAAGAAAACTCTAAACCAGATCTAACTACGGAACAATAAAGAATAACTTTGGTATTATAAACAAGATTGCGACAATTACACCACAACATTCCAAGTAAACGATTGGCCTTAGCAACGATGAAGTCAACATGATTACTAAAGTTAGCTTTGAATCAACAAATATTCCCAGATCCTTTTGTACAGAAACTCGTTCTATATTACAGAAATTTAAATTATAATCATACACAATTGGATATTTTTTTTAAGAAATTATAAAGCTTTTACATTTAGGAGGATTAAGCGGTATCCTCCATCTCGATGACCAGTATGCTACCGCATCCAGATCATTTTAAAGGAGAAGTGTGTCACAAACAGAGCGCACAGTACGAAACAACTATAAATCATCAGCAAATAATAAACTGTTAGAATTAAAATTAAACGAAATATCATTGATAAACATATTGAAAAATAAGGGACCCAGCACGGATCCCTGGGGGATACCGTTATAAAGAACTCTTTACTGTCTACCATGAAGATAATTACGTATCCATTTAAGTATGCTACCTGTGATGCCAAACTTACTGATCCTGTAAACCAGAAGATCATGACAGACCGTATCAAAAGCCTTTAAGAAGTGTAGATGACATCACACTGAAACTTCTCTTCAATCACTTGATAAACAACCGATAGCATTGTGGCAAGATTAGTCTGACATGATCTTCCGGGAACAAAACCATGTTGGGCATCACAGATAGCAGGTGATCAGATATGTTCTTGACAAGGTGTTCTGCGACAATCTTTTCACAATTTTATGTATATTAAAGCAAACTAAAATACGTACAAATACATGTTATGTATGTTAAAGCAAACTTAAGAGCTTTACTATTCTATGGTGTTAAATCGATCTATTGTACACCGTACTTATTCATGAACGAATTTCGAGTACAAGTTATAAACATCTAAGCTAATTAATGTTCATTTTTTGTTTCAGTTACTTATTTTTATACAAAAAGACAACACCAAAGAAATATCGTTTAAAGAAGATCTAAAGATAGAAAATGTTCCTACTCAATTCAAGGGTTTGCCAGGAACCCCTGGTGAGAGAGGGCCCCAGGGGGCGAAGGGTGAGACTGGTCCACGTGGCCTACCCGGACCAGCAGGTCCTGCTGGACCAAAAGGCATACCTGGTCATCGAGGGCTGCCGGGTCCTGTAGGATTGAGAGGCCAAAAGGGAACAATGGGGTTTCCGGGTATTGAGGGTAAAAGAGGTTACAGGGGTGATAGGGGTTATAAAGGACCCATAGGAGATCCTGGAGTTAAGGGTGAAATGGGTGAAAAGGGTTCAGATGGTGTTCCTGGTGAGAGGGGATTAAAGGGGCGTATTGGTCCGCCTGGCGTACCTGGTTTGCCCGGAATACCCGGAAGATCACCAACGTCGTCAATGACATCGAAGATTAAAGAAGGAAAGCGAGGAAAACGAGGATCACAGGTTAGTCACGTAACTAATATTTGACGTTGAAAGCACATAATATAATAGTTTAAGTTACTACCTAGTGGGAGACGATACCATTCGGTTTAACAGGTACCGTACCAAAATAGCTTTTCCATCAGCAATGGGTGCTAAACGCTCACATGTGAAGTGGCATGAGCAGGAAAAGTAATGTAAACTTTTAAATTATAAACAATAGTTTAGTGGAAGAAAAGTCACAAAAAAAAAACTGTAAAGCTTGTATAAAGTGGGATCCAAAATTCAATTATTAAAATAAAGATTCAGATTAATGTGCGGTAAGCAGTTAATTAAAAACAGGGTACCATATATACATATCTGTATATTATTTATTTAATTATTTCATTTCATATACATATATCATATATATATATATATATATATGTATATACACATCTTGGATAGGTCCATGGTTAGACAGTAGAACACAATATAATTTATTCAGGGAACGAATATTTTGTTTTGTCCTCAAGACTTCATCAGCGTAACTGATTACAAAAGTTGGCAAATAGTAGATTTAATATAATACAATAAACAGTCGGCAATAAATGAAGGAGGGTGATTAAATGAGATAAACAATAATGGGGACATAGGGATAACGATTATGATGGGAGCAAGATAATGAGTTAAAAGTGTGGAAACCAAAGTACTCTGATATCGAGTAGTGTAAGCGATAGCCTATGATACAAATAAATATAATGGCAATAAACATCATAAAATAATATACCGTATAAGACTAATGTACATACATATATATGTTTTTAATATAATATAATAATAATAATAAGCCAATAACAAAGTAAACAAAAACAAAGTATACTAGGTAAGCCTAGATACAAAAGTAATGCAGAATTCAAAATTAAATATAGCATTATACAAATAATATGGAATATAATATGGTGTACATAAAATAATGATGTACACCATGTTATATTCCATATTACTTGTATAATGCTATACAGTATGCCACAAAGTTCCTATGCAATGTAATTTTTACCTTGTATGATAATGAAGTATAATGAGTGTTCATCTGTTTTATGTATATGTGATTATATTTACTTGGCAGTTTAGCCTGCATAGTCAATGTTCTCTTCATTGACAATTCAGGCTAAACAACCAAATGTATTGTCAATGTTCTCTTTATACACATCGGAGAGCCACTCAATAATAATTTGGTTCACTTTTTGGTAAATATGTCTGGTATGGTTAGTTTTGTTCTTTTCTTTCCTGTCAAAATATTATTGTTTTTATTGTTCAGTAAACTTAATATATGGAATTATGTGGCTTATATTGAAATTACTATTTGACTTTCAGGGTCGGACTGGTCCACCAGGAAAGCCCGGCCAAAAGGTTTGTACCACATATTAATATTTTATCCATTTATGCCTGGATGGGCCTATTAATTTGAGAGGCCTGATTATATTTTGTCACTTTGGAATATAATAATATAATTATTTTGAACTTATATAGAGCATAAGGTAAAATACCTCTATGCACTTTACAGCAGGGAGTGGAATAAATTATCTAAAATGTTTCACCTAATAAAAAAAATTAATATCAACTATATAATTATTAACTTGATTTATGAATGGGTAGTGTAATAATATCTTGTCGTAACCCAGGTTTCTGGTGCATGATTACACGAGGAATTTAATTACACTACACATTCATTACTTCTCAACAAGACACGATTTACAGTTGAATAAAACAATTTAATTTGATGTTACAGGGTGAAACAGGCATTCCTGGTCCAAGAGGGCCCAAGGTAAGCTAATTTGAACATGGGTTTCAGGCCGGTATGCAGGGGTGTCCTAAGTGCATACGCACCCTCCTCCTCATTCCAAAAAGGTCCACATTTTAAGAGAATGTACTGAGATTTGTTATTCGGCCAATATTTGGGAATTAAAGTTGTCATAGTAATTGAAAATTGAAGCTGCGATTCAACCGGCCCTCCCCTGACTCCACTGCTTGGTCCATGCTTGCACACGTCCACACCCCAATGGCAATTCTGGATACGGCCCTGGTTTTTAGTGTCGTTCAGAGAAATTACAATACTGTAATAAAGTCAGAATGAATGAAAACGAACGGATACATGGAGAAAATAAAAATCTAAAAAAAATTTAAATTTAGAAATTTATATAGCGTTTTTTGTCAATGGAAAGAAAGCGCTTGGATGTGGACTTAGGAACTCGATCAATGACGGACGGACGAAAGGACGGACAGGCGGACAGACGGGCAAACGAATCGATGAATATATTTATTGTTTTAAACATCAAAATTCATTGCAGTACATTAAAACTGAATTGTTCATTGTTTAAATTAGGGTGAATCTGCTGTCGGTGAAGCCATTCTGAATATGATAGCGAACATGCGCCGTGACATCGTCGAATTACAACAGCATATTCTGGGCAAAACGCCCTCATTCAACACAATGATACCGGGAAACGACTTAGAAAACACACTATTGACAACAGACGATGAAGATCTTGCAGGATCAGGGAGAAAACCAGACAACCCGCCATAATGTTGAAGTCAGAATTATTTCGCTAAATACGGTCTGCAACAACGATGCAGGAACATCGGTGTAATGATAACTAGCACAAAATAATACGATCACCTTGAATATTAATGACGATACTGATGAAAGAAGTTGTGCTACATCACGTGACAATTAAGGATAAGATGGGCGCCGAAGTGTTAATTGACTTTAAAGAAAATGCTGCAAAGAATCCTAATCATTTAATCGAAAAATGTGATTGATTAAAATTTAAAAAAAAGCTAATCAGCAATCCCTTTCTTAAAATAGGCCTATATAAAAGAGAAGACGTAAGGGTTGTTTTTCAACCAACACGCGCGCGGTCTATGGCTTCGCTATTAATACCTCATTCGTATGTATCATGTTATAACTTTTTTATTGTTGTACATTTATGAATATTTTATATAAATATTAAAGACGACAATAACTTACATCTCTTAAGAAAGATATGAGGGCAGAATTTCGACAAATTGGTCGAGAGGCAATTTGCTACAACTTGGTTTAAACCTTACGTAGTATAGAGCGACTAAAACTATTATTATGAGCGTTAATGTATACATTACACTTAAAATTATTGTATTCTAATATTATATGATATAGGCCTAGTAGCCTATGTTAATATGTACACTTGGAACCATGTACCGTTGGGCTTCCTTTGCTGTGTCTTGTCGAGACATTGACCAAAGGCAGAGGTTATTGTTATGTGAAATACTAAGAGCTCTTGTTATTTATGTGTTATATAAGACCGATTTATTATTGTTACTATTATTATTATTATTATTAAAACATTCTTTTATATGGTGAGGTTACACAAGGCAGTAGACGCATTGGCCACCCCCTTTTACGTTTTATTAATTTATGCAAACAGGATTTAAAGTCTGTTGGATTTAATCTGCTCACTTGGGAGAATTTAGCCAGAAATAGAGCTTTATGGAAAAATGAAGTGAAAAGGAAACTCAATTTGTTTGAAGAAAACTAATGTAATTCAAGGAGAGAAAAACGTAAAGCACAGCTCAGAATATGTTCATACTTGCTCATACTGTCAGCGCAAATGCTCCTCAAGAATTGGATTGATTAGCCACCAACAAGCATGTGCACTGAAATTCAACTTGACAGATTAATGCTAGTGTTGCAGTTGATGTGAAATCCCAAATTCTTCACCATAGTCTTTGAGACTGACGGTGCCAATGATGATAATGATGATGATGATTATTATTATTATTATTATTATTATTATTATTATTATTATTATTATTATTATTATTATTATTATTATTAAAAGTAAAATAACACCAATATACAGAGTAGAATACAGGAATTCTCAGAAGTGAACAAAGTGTGTAACAGTACTTAAAATTCCATTCGTTTATAGGTAGGCCTATACATTTAATATCTTTCCAAAATATAAAATGACTTGCCTGGTGGATTTTAACATAGGCCTACCACTTCTGCAATAACTGTGTATTCTCTATGTAATTGATTGTGTGACGTTGTATCACTGTAATGCTCATAACTTATTTTAATCCTTATTGTCATTTGATTCTTATTGTCATTTATTTTAGAATTATAATAAAAATAATATTAATAGTGTAATATATTTTATATTTTTGGAAACCTGCTGCTGCATCAACCATTGACCTCCTCCCACAAGATGCAGCTCATAAGCTGTTAAAACGTTCGCATGTACGTCCGAATCGTCCGAATAGAATTACTGCGTCTTCACAGAGCGTCAGTTAAGACCCTGCCAAGTCTAGGTAAGGAAGGCGAAGTGGTTTTAATTCCAACTAGCTGGAATTGAACCCAGCATCCGGCAATGGGAGGGAAGTGAGTCCGCTCCATACTGGTCTTAAACGCGCATTGCTTCATAATTTTATTACTTCAGTCATCACTTCATATAATTGTTATTAGATTATCTTCATATTACAGTAGTTAAGTTTTAAAATTGAAAGCTAACTTCTGGAAAAGTTATAATGAGTAGAGGAAATCTGGTCTATTCCAAACGTTATTACTCTAAGTTAAACCGAGCCTCTTCCTCGCTATGATAGTATTTGAAATCTTCAAACCTTGATCATATCATACCAAGCCTTGTCATCTCTGTTTTATGTTGAAGGTTTCTAGACTAGAGATAATATAATACGGTAGAATATTACTATACAAAATCTTGATTTAACGTAAAATATTTCAGTAGTGGGTAGATTAATGTATAGCAATTGAACCCCATATTGGTAACAACATAAAAATGTAAGTGCAGGTAGGTGATGATACTCAGTTTATTTCATTATGTAATGTCATTTGTTTTTGATAGATGAAACCTTTATTAAACGACTAATGTATTTTATTCGTATTTCCTTCGTTATTTTCAAGTATCAATTTATAGGCTAATGTTGACATGTTCATTTTTGAATCCATGGCTACGTATAGTAAATACAGTCACTGATGTAAGCCATAAATTGCGACCATTTAACAATCATATAAAAGTAATATAAAAGTATGTCATTTGCATTATATAATCTTCCAATGTTAATCTAGTAATATAATATACTGTAGTCGTACGAGTCTGTAGAATAATAAAAGTTTATGACAACAGGCAGCATTGGAACAAATGATTAATTTCAATAATACTGTATAATTAAAAAAAATAGAAGCTTTTGTGCTCACTTCAGTACGTAAATTGGGCGCGCTGCAGCATTGAACATCCTTTTAAGGACAGAGAATGGTTCTAAAATTATATCGATGCGAAAAGCACCTGTGGGTAGGTAGCTCAAGCTAAGGCGAGACTTTTTAATAACTTGTTTACCGAACTTTTTTTTTTAATTGTCAAGAGGAAGGTGCAAAAAATTAAAATAAACAAATGTTTTCTTATTTAGCAAAATGATTATGCCGAAATCATCTAGGTAGAGGAGAAATACAAAGAAAAATGTTATGATGAACGAAAACAATGTAGTATTGAGATTGATAAATGCTTTAAATTTATATAATTTATGCATTTTTTTATATTTTAGGAGAGCAAAGGGCGTAATAAAGTATTTTTTTTATGACATTTCTATTTTTCGTGGCGGAGAGTGCACAACTGGCCAAAAATAAAATTTTATTTTTTGTCCGAAATTATTGTTGGCGGTCAGAGAGTTTTCTAAACAAGATAAATCTCAGTCGCTTCTATGAAGAGAACGCAACGCCACAATACGGACGTAACGGATTGCTTCAGACTACCACTGATCAAGGCCAATTCAACAAAAGAACGCACATCTCCGCTCGCGAACATAGCGCTTGCGTACAGTCCTTTGATCTTTACTGTGGAATCGACAATCCAATACTAGTTGCGAGTACAGCCGTCAATTATTAGTCTATGCGTGCCATACGTTTTATGGTATTAGTTACCATACTATTTTATTAAAGCCCCATTCCCGGCAAAATTTCACTAAAAATGACTTTTTTTAGAAAATATGCATTTGCATTACTCCAATTATTATAAATCATGGAAAAATATTGGCATTAA